CCTCCGGGGGTGGCCTAGCGCCCAACAAGATTAAACCGCGCAGCAGGGAGAGAAATCCACAACTCACTTTCCACTGATCAGGCTTTGCAGCGCCGGCAGACTCGGCCATCAGCACGGGTACCCTGCTGGGTGGCAATGCCGGCAGCCAAGTCTCCATTCACTGTTGAATGCTGGTTCACACAAGTGACACGTTGAGACGCACATTCGTCTCTGTGAGAAGTCAGGTACTGCGCATCATCGCGACCGTAGTCGGCGGAATGGTGCTGGGTGGCGCCGCAGGTTGGTTGATCCCCAGGAGGACGCAGCTCACCATCTCCGGCAAACAGGCGCCCATGCAGAACCAGCAGCGCTCTTCAGCTCCGACAAAGACGCCCCCCAAACTAGTGTTAATTTGGAAGCCTCGCAGGACAAATAGTTGCTGATACAGCATGTCGTAGCGACTCCTGACGTGGCGGTGCTCTTGACACTGTGGTTTAAACCGTGCGTGGTCATCAAGTACAGATGCACGATGATGCATGCCGACGAGCTGGTCCCCGATACCTGACGGTATCAAGGGCTTTAACTGCCATGTCTGCAGATCAGATCTCCCTGCGAGGTGTTCACAGGGCAACCAGTGGAAGCCAGGAGCTCAAGTTGGACGGCTCGTCGGAGCGGTGCGTGCAGCTGGTAGCTGTGTGAAGACTAAGTTGAGCAAATGGCCTTCCTTGCACAGAGTGAGTGGAGACTGAATCTGGCAGACGAGACAGTGGACACGGCAAGAGTCGCCCGAACCTGCTGAGGCTTTCCTAATGGTTGTCTCGGTGGCGCTGTCGGCCTTTGCTTTGGGCGTCTCCGATTCAGGGGCGACGCTGGTGCCAATGCCGCTGATTGGTGGTGCTTTCTTTCAGTCAGACACCTGTTGGCAACAGACGTGCCAGGGATTCCGAGGGACCAGAGAGATCTTATGACGCACAGACATGCGCTTTGGTGCGGAGATTTTGTAGACGAGCCTGTCCCTTTTCTACCTCGCGACTTCCGGTTCAAGGAGCTGATGGTCATCATGACCGGCGTCTTCTTCTCGGCTGTAGCTGCCGAAGCGGACCTTCACCAGGCAGCTTTTCGACAGGATGGGATTCTTTGCTTGTTCGTGCCGGCTACCACCCAACTGCAAACTCTGTCACGAAACCTTCCCCTGAGCTTCGTTCAATGGCTCACCACGGAAGCTGGTGCGGGGGAGGATGGGGGGTTTCAGGGTATCCCTCACCTGGGACCCCGTGGTCACCAGGGATGTTTTCGGGGGAAATCTCGAGTCTTGCGTTGGCCCCTTCTGCCCAGTCTTCGATAGGAGAAACAGGTCTCTTCTGATGCAGCTGATGCTGGCTGCAGGGTCTCTTTTGATTGCTTCTGATGAAGCCGATCTGGTCGTCCACATTCTTTGTACATGTTGGGCAGACCTGACGTTCCGTGTCACCCACCCTGTCCATTATGGAGCTTTCCTCCCAGCCTGTCACTCTGAAGTAAACGCGATTCCCCAAAAGCGAACCAACTCTATCCAGCCGCGATTGCCTCTTCTGTCTGGCATGGCTGAACCCGTTGCCTGCGCGCAGGTGGAAAGAGTGATGGGCGGTGTCTGGATCTTTGGGCAGCTGCTCCTTTTCAGCATGAGCCTCGTCTGGCAACCATGCAGGAACTGACTTGGAGGCCAACATGGCCATGCGGGTCACAATGGCTCTTAACTAAACTTGTCATGGTAAGCCACCGGTGCGCAGTACAGCTGGAACCTGAAGCATAACGTAAGGCGTAAGGCACATTGAGCCAGGCTCCTTCATGCCTGCATCGCTTCCCAGGATAGGCAGCCGAACAACGCTGGATATCTTTCCAGCATTCTGGCATCATGTGCGGCCTGGCACTGCAGTTCGGCAAGCCCGTTTACAGCTCAGGCCCCGAATCTTTGTGAGCTCCGCGCTGTCAGGTTTCCCTTGATGGCCTGCGGGCTGGCAGCAAGATTCGTTGGCATCTACCTTGCCATCAATGGCATTCTCATCCTGGACTTGCCAGGTAGTCGCCAAATTGAGCCTGAGCGATTGCGGCACCTTTGCCTCTGCCAGGTCATCCATTTCAGGCTTCCACGGTGATGCAAGACGTCACGTTCTGCGACTTGACTCCTCTCGAGGAACACCTAGAGACATTGCTGCATGGCTCGGGTTGCAAGCTCAGAGCCTAGGCTTTGTGTCGATCCTGCCTCGAGCAACGATCCAGGCTCTTCTTTAATGTTCGCGGTCTCCCTGCATACCCGACTTGCTGGCCAGGGCGCTCTGGGTCAAGTCCCCATAACTGGGTCCCTGGAATGCAGAAAGTTCAGACTCTGAAGCAGTGCATTGGTGCCGGCACATTTTGTAGTTACCTTTGGTTTGTGAGTGACTTTGCTCGCCTTCAGGCAATTCTTCAGTAGGCTGTCGAACAGCTCCACTTGATGCTCGCTGGCAAATGCTACTAAAATGAGAGTATAAAGACAAGGCTTCGCGTGAGGCTGGTTAAGTTAGGCTAGCAGCTCTGCACTTTTTTAGGCGCTTTGTCTTTGTTGCTATTTATCGCATTGTCACCTTGGCTTGTGCTGATCCGAAGTACGACAAAAGCCTGATCTCTTATGTAGTGAGGTCAAGACTTCATTTTCCTCGCAGCCTCTTGGCCTGATCGTGGAAGGTCAGCTTCGGTTTTGAGTTGTGAGACGGATGGATAGACAGGCTAGTTCTTGGTGCCAAGGCACGGCTGTACATCTGCATCATGTCTGCGGGAAGCTCAGGAAATCCAGTGAGCTTGCATCTTCGCAACTCTCTTTGCTCCTCGTGCAGGTCGGAGGAATGATCTTGCTGAACACCTTCGGGCATCGGCTCTGCATGCAGACGCTTGACCGGCCGGCCTGGGGAGACAAGGCCGAGGGCCCCAGACGCAATGCATGTCGCAGTGCGGAGCACGATGGAGCTGCTCTCTGAGGCAAAAGAGCTTGAGACGGAGAAAGAAGTGGAGCGCCTCGCCTGGAAGTCGAGGAGCGAGGATGTTGTGACGTTGTGGTGCTTGCGCCAAGGGATCCGCTGGATTCGCCCGAGACCGTAGTGCAAAGCGTGGCGGAGGCTCGAAGGGTTCCAAGGTGACTTTCGCTCTCCCCTGGGCCTGGGGCGGTGGGTACTTTGCAACGGGTGACTGTCGCAAGTGTTCAACTACTAAAAGCGAAGGATCCATGGTCAGACCTTTGGCGATAGTTTCTTCGTGAAGTGGCCCGAACCCCAAGTATTCTCGCTGGCGCTTGGTCGGCCGCTATAGTACGAGCACCACTGTTTGGAATCAAGTCGTGGGGACATCACGGTAGCATTCGGAAACTCTGACTAGTTCTCAGCGCTTCAGCTTGCATGTCGTATGGAAAATTTTTTGACAGGAAACTCAGCAAAGCCGAATACACCGAAGCCGGGCCCTACGACAGCCCCGTGACAAC